CGGAGTCGCCCAGATCGACAAGACGTCCGTCTTCCAAGAAGGTAGGGCACCTCCCGCATGCGCCAGAGGTTGGCGGGGGACGCTGACGCTGTCCAGCACGAGTATTCAACCAGAGCCCCATCTCGCCCAGGAAATGTAGAGTGATCCTGACCAAGCTGGCGCTGCTGCTCTTCACCGGCGAGAGCTGGGGGCGCCAGGAAGCCACGACCCTCTTCTTTGGCATCTCCAAGCTGTTCCAGAACAAGGATGCCTCGCTCCGCCAGATGGTCTACCTGGTCATCAAGGAGCTCGCTGGCTCCGCCGACGATGTCATCATGGTCACTTCCTCGATCATGAAGGACACCTCCGTCGGCAGCGACGTCGTATACCGCCCCAACGCCATCCGCGCCCTCTGCCGCGTCATCGACGCCTCCACCGTCCAGGCCATCGAGCGTCTCGTCAAGACGTGCATAGTCGACAAGAACCCCTCAGTCTCCTCCGCCGCCCTCGTCTCCTCGTACCACCTCCTCCCAGTCGCAAAGGATGTCGTCCGAAGATGGCAGTCAGAGGCCGCCGAGGCCGCGTCAGGAAGCAAGTCGGGTGGTGGTTTCTTGGGAGGGTTTGGAGGGGGCTCACATACCACCCTCCAGGCCAGCACAAACTACATGACACAGTACCATGCCATTGGTCTCTTGTACCAGATGCGCGCCGGCGACAGGATGAGCTTGGTCAAGATGGTGCAGCAATACTCTGCTGCTGGTGTCGTCAAGAGCCCTGCCGCTACTGTCTTGCTGGTCAGATTAGCAGCCAAGCTCGCTGAGGAGGACCCAAACCTGCGAAAGGTGAGCTACACAACATCCATTGAAAGATGTCTACTAACAATTTCTACAGCCTATGATGCAACTCCTCGACGGCTGGTTGCGCCACAAGTCGGAGATGGTCAACTTCGAGGCTGCAAAGGCCATCTGCGACATGCGCGACGTTACCGATGCCGAGCTCGTACAAGCCGTCCACGTCCTGCAGCTCTTCCTCACCTCTCCTCGCGCCGTCACCAAGTTCGCCGCCCTCCGCATCCTGTCGCAAATGGCCTCCTTCAAGCCGGACGCCGTTCGCTCATGCAACCAGGATATCGAATCGCTCATCACCAACTCGAACCGCAGCATCGCCACCTTCGCCATTACCACACTCCTCAAAACGGGCAACGAGTCTTCGGTTGACAGGTTGATGAAGCAGATCACTGGCTTCATGGCTGAGATCACCGACGAGTTCAAGGTCACCATTGTGGAAGCTGTCCGAACATTGGCACTGAAGTTCAAGGCGAAGCAGTCCGGCTTCCTTGCTTTCCTCAGCGGCATTTTGCGCGACGAAGGCGGCTACGAATTCAAGCGATCCGTTGTCGAGGCTATCATGGACCTCATTCGCTTCGTACCTGATGCCAAGGAAGATGCGCTTGCTACACTTTGCGAGTTCATCGAGGATTGTGAATTCACAAAGCTCGCCGTCAGGATTCTATTCGTACTTGGACGTGAAGGTCCTTCAACACCGCACCCCACCAAATACATCCGTTACATTTACAACCGCGTAGTCCTGGAGAATGCGATTGTTCGGGCTGCGGCGACCTCTGCTCTGTCCAAGTTCGGCGTCGGACAAAAGGACCCCGAAATCAAGAAGTCTGTCCACGTCCTCCTCACAAGGTGTCTGGACGATGTTGATGACGAGGTCCGTGATCGCGCTGCGCTCAGTCTTCGTTTGATGGACCAAGAGGACGACGACATGGCTGTTAACTTCATCCGTAACGACTCCATGTTCTCCCTTCCTGTTCTTGAGCACCAGCTGGCCATGTACGTCTCTTCAGATTCCCGCGACACCTTCGAGACGGCCTTCGACATCACCAAAATCCCCACAGTCTCGCGCGAGCAAGCAGATGCGGCAGACCTTACAAAGAAAACCGAAGGCGCTACCCCAACCCTCAAAGCACCCAGTGCAACCAAGGCACCCTCGAAAGCTGGTGCCGATGCCGCCGCAAACGCAGCATCGAACGCGCAGAAATATGCTACGGAACTGCAAAAGATTCCAGAACTGGCTGCGCACGGCGGCGTGCTCAAGTCAAGCGATGTCGTCGAGCTCACAGAATCCGAGACCGAATACGTGGTCACTGCCATTAAGCACATCTTCAAGGACCACATTGTCATTCAGTACGACATCAAGAACACTCTTGAGGACACAGTATTGATGGATGTCGAGATGGTTGTCACACCGGAAGACGATGGTGACGTGCAATTAGAAGAAGAGTTTGTCATCCCAGCGCCAAAGCTTGTCACCAACGAGCCTGGTACCGTCTACGTATCCTTCAAGCGCCTGGAGACCGAATCGCAGTTTATCGCCGCCAGCTTTACCAACGTACTCAAGTTCACCAGCAAGGAAATCGACCCGAGCACAAACGAGCCAGAAGAAGGTGATGGGTATCCAGATGAGTACCAGGTTGAGGATCTGTACCTCACTGGTGCCGACTACGTTGTTCCCGCATATGCAGGCAGTTTTGATAATGTCTGGGAACAGTCGAACGGTGATTCGGCGACTGAAACACTGCAGTTGGGTAACATGAAGAGCATAACTGGTACGTCGATAAAATTGCGAGCTATCACTAATGACGAACGGATGACTGACGCGTTACAGATGCAACCGAACAACTCACCAAGACTCTATCTCTCCAGCCTCTCGAAGGTACAGATGTCGCTTTGTCAACATCAACCCATACTCTCAAGCTCTACGGCAAGACTATTACAGGTGGCAAGGTTGCTGCTACGGTACGGATGGCTTTCAGTGCCAAGACTGGTGTGACCATGAAGATCGATGTAAGAAGCGAGGAAGAGGGTGTTGCAGCATTGGTGGTGGGTAGCGTGGCATAGGTGATAGATGAACATTTGTTTAGTAGCGTTTCTTGAAAGCGTAAAAGGTCCACAGGCTTCTCAGTAGAACTCTTGGTAGCCACAGCTCAATGATTATGACATATATGTTACAGATTGAGAATATTGAACAATTGAACCCACAAGCGCTCTGAGATACCGACTCTGTCTGCACCCTCTTATGAAGCAAGTGCGTCGATGGCCTTGTTGACAATACTCCGTATCTGTTTCCACCGTCTCACCACCGTCTCCCTCTGGCCTTCCGCAACCTCATGTTCCCCTTCACTCAAGTCCAGCTGTTCTACCTCTTCCAGCGTATCCACTATCTCCCTCGAATACTTAGTCAACACATCCGCTAGGTACTTATTCAGCCTGCCCTGATCCCTTACTCCATCATCATCCCCCGATACAAACGCCGAATATCTCCTCGAATCCAGCACCAACAACCGAAGCACAGCTTGCGTCCTATAGCAGACAATCTCCTCTTTGCCCGCACCGAACAACGTGTAGTCCCCATGAAAGCCATCCTCCTTCAGCGCATCCACCTGCTGCTTATCCAGCAAAGGCAGCAACAAGTGATCCAAAGGCAGCGTATCATGAACGTTTTCCTCAAGGATGAAACCGTACTCCACGAGCAGAAAGTCGCTTGTGTGAGACCCATACGTGACAAAGACTTCTTCGCCCGCAGAATACGATCGGTCGGCCGTCACAGAGTAACCGTGGCTGTCGTGTTCGGGATGGCATCCGTTGTCGGAGTGGTTGAAGTAGTCGATTAGCGGGCACATGCAGTAGCAGTCGTCTGCTGTTAGTTTTCCACGCCGTTTGGGTAGGCTGGGGTGGGCGTTGGGCAGATCTGGATATTCCCAGTAGAAGGTTCGGGTGTTTACTATCAGCCAGGTGTATGTGTAGAGGGACTTTGTTATGGCGGGAGGAAGATGCGGTGAGAGTGTTGACCAGTCTTTTTCTAGGTTGGAGCGTTGTTTCGTGAGGAGCGTTTTGCAAGCTGGTGGTAGGAGCGACTGGAGTGATGCGGGGTAGTGGAATGGCATGGTTGATGCGAAGTCTTGTTGTGTGGGCCAGACGTCTTGCCAGAGTTGGTAGCCGTGTGGTTCCTGGCCGCTGTACCATAGGGAGAGGGAGGCGGCGAGTTTTCCATGGACGGTGGCGTTTTCGGGGAGCTTGAAGGCTTGGATTGAAGGGAGGGCCACATGGACGAGAGATTTGTTGGAGACGTGGACTAACTTGTCTCCTTTCTTGATGATTTAGTTGAGGGGTTTGAGTGAGGGTGGCTATGGTGGGTTGGACTGACTTTGATATCTTTTGCGGCTACGATGCCCATTCCTCGACCGCTGAAGCGTGCTGGGGCTATTCCATCGATGTCAACGCCGTTGGATTTGGCCCAGTCGACGAATTGGGTATGTTGTTCGCCGGGGTCTAGTGCTGCGGTCATGGCTGCGGTGGATGATGCTGATAGCCTAAAGGCCGAAAGTACTCCTTTGATCCTAACTCTCACATCTGTTAGAACTGTAGATATCTCATTGGTTGAGACAGTCAATTATCGTACCGAAGATTCCTTCCAGAAGCGGATACACAGTATCTTGATTTGAAGTTGTTCTTTGTAGGGTCAGGATCTGAAGAATTTGGTGAGCTACCTTGAAGGGAAGCCTATCCACTACAGAGTAAAATCTCGTTTATTGAAAAAGCAATCGAAGATGTTGCAGCTGACAAGTCCGGAAGTTGGACAAAGAGTCATCTGCTAATACTTTGGCGTGGCTGGTGCATGTGGCGTATCGATAAGAATCGCGTCATTATATCGGCTCGAACCAGATGAGAACCATCAAACCCACGCTGTCCGCAACCCTCCCCGAAACGCGTAAATGGCGAGAAGTGTGCGACCATGTCAGCTCCCAAAGCTGATATCGCGCTCACTGTTCCAAACGTCATCATTCGCGCAATCAACACGCTGTTTTTCAGTCCTCAATCGTCCCCCGCCGAATTATGAGGGTCACATACCATTGACGCGTACGGAAAGGTTAGGGCTGGCAATCGGCTCGGGTCTTGGAAGTTTCCTGGACCCGCGAAGAGGAGGTAGACACGATCCAGATTCTCAATTTCATGGTTCGCTGCTTACACAAGCCAGACCTCATTGCATCCTTTGGCGAAGCCACCGCGCAACCCTACTTCATCTACAAGCTCCGTGATCGCATGCTTCTAAATCCAACAGGCCGACGAATACTACGCGACCGACCACGCTTAACGTCTACCTCGCTCGACATTCCACGCCTCCGCAAACTCCCTCCGAACACATTGGGCTATGCATACGCGGCATGGCTTGACCGCGAGGGCGTCTCGCCAGACACACGAGCGCCAGTACAGTACATAGACGACGAGGAGTGTGCATATGTCATGCAGCGATATCGCGAATGCCACGACTTCTACCATGCCTTGGTCGGACTACCCGTCTTTCGTGAAGGCGAGGTCGCTCTCAAGGCATTCGAATTCGCCAATACCGGCCTGCCTATGACTGGCTTGGCTGTGTTTAGCGCTTTCACCCTGAAGAAGGCTGAATGGAGGCGTTTCTGGGACGTCTATGGGCCGTGGGCTACACGGAACGGCGCACAAAGTGACGATGTAATCAACATCTACTGGGAGGAAGAACTGGAGACGGATATCGACGAGCTAAGAGCTAGATTCAGCATTGAGAAGCCACCGGATCTGCGAGCTATGCGCAAGGCGGAACGTGAAGCGCGCAAGAAAGAAAAGGAGGCTAAAGAGACCATGGCACGGGCTGCCGTATGAGATTACAACCATGTACATTATCGTGTAATAACCACCTAGCACATGTCTCGACCTTGGCCTGTCATCTGCGTAGGATAAGTCCCATGCAGGTTACTTGCTCAAACCAGCAGGCGACACAAGGATGCGGGGTCTCCACACGGGACGGCACCCGCCAGCCGAATCGTCCACTCCAGACGACCATTTCCTATGAAAGCGCGACCCACCCGCACCATGCAGTTTTCTCGCTGCCTACATCAATCTCCGATCATCGACTGCTGTCATGGCCGAAAAACGGAAGCATGGCGAATCTCCCGGATCTGACCAATCACGACTTCCACTTGATGACGGCCGCCCGTCTACCAGCCCAGCGGGCAGTCTAACAGTCGTCGAGAACTACCCCAGAAAACGTATAGCGATAGCTGTAGGCAACACTACCCCTGACTTCCGACATTAATTACTTATAGCTTGTAGTGCAATGTTTGTAGATTTCGGAAGACACGCTGTGACGCCCAGAAGCCGGTTGGTCAGACAAAATTGCATTCATATATGCTTTTGTTGACATTTGCAGTCTTGTGGTTTCTGTACTGAGCTCGGAATTGAGTGCACCTACCGAAAGCCAACAGTCGGCGACCGCACAAAACCAGTCGGCCCCCCGTCAGAGGCCTGGTCAAGCATTGAAAGACGACTGGCACAGGTTGAAGCCAAGCTAGAATCCACGAATCAATATGCGCCTGGTTCTGCAGCACTTTCACCCAACACGTCTACTCATAGCGATATGCACCCTCCTCCAGAGTCCAGATCACAACACTCGAGCGCCAATCGAATGACAATTGAAACGATCAACAACTCCACCATGTCTGTTCCATCAGTTGGTACACCAGTATCGTATGACTTTGCTTATCGACAGACAAGCACCGAAGGAAAAACTCCGAGGCCTAGCCTCACTACTTTCCACGCACCTTCTTACATCCATGTGGAGAGCTGGGACTACACAGCTGACTTTTACGATGATGAGATCTTAGCTGGCGAACAACTGGCGGATCAGTGTGACGCAGTCATCTCACACCCAGTAGATCTATCCCGACGAACGTGCCGACGACTCCAACAATCGTTTGTGGAAAACTTCCTTCGGTGGACGCCTATTTTCGATCAACGAACCTGCGTCAGTGCGCTTGAACAGGCAGACTCAAGTAGCTTTGAGCACCCTAGTGCATCAACATGCCTAGCATTTCTGATACTGGCCCTTGGTGCAATCTCTGAAGATAGGAATGAGAATACGAATAATCTCACTCCAGGGTTGGAGTACTTTGCACGTGGATGTCGCCTCCTAGAGCACCTATCGCTTCGCATCGGACTAGCTAGCCTTCAGTGTCGGATACTGCAAGCTTCGTACTTCAAGTTCGCTATCAGACCACTGCAGACATGGAACTCCATCACGCAGGCTGCGAGAGACTGCATGCATATCTTGAGCTCCAGAACTATGCAACGATACAGCCCATCGGACCAAGAAGCATTCAACCGAGCGTTCTGGGCTTGCTCCACCGTGCTGCACGAGTAAGTTGTCCAAGCGCGGCTTGCATCGTTAGCCTCGATAGCGAAAGACTTTACTAATGTAACATGTGCTTAGACTTGAGGCGACATGTAAAATGCATCCCATCGGACTACGCCACTTCCATGAATTGGTGCCGCTTCCCCAGTTCGAAGAAGAGGATTCAGGCTTCTACTTCTTTCTGGCGCAGATCAGCCTTAGGAAGTTCCTGACACAGACTCTTGAAGTTGTCGGTTACTGTAAGTGTCTCTGCAGAGTCAATTTTGCTACGTGCACTTACCATGCGACCGCCCCTTCCAGTTACAGGACAGGTCATCTTCGCACCCGTCGTCGTTGGCGAGCTACGTAAACAAGTGCGCGAATGGTATCATCATCTACCTTCTGCCGTTCGGTTTCCCTTGGATTCGACGCCGCTGTTTGACTCTAGGAAGTCTTTCCTAAGGATTCAGTACATGGCTCTACACGTAGTGCTTGGCTGGCCTTCAGTACTTAGGATACTCGAGAACAGCGAAGGGGAGGCCAGTGCTCAGGAAAACGAAACGATTGTAGTCACAAGGGAGCATGCGCGACACTGCATAAAGAGTTCAGCCTTGCTTCTAAGTGTAGCGGACGAGCAACTCATGGGAAGAAAGATGGGAACGCACTTTACACTATACCCGTATGGTCATTGCGTTCAAACATGTTGATGTCTAACTAACTTTATCTAGGACATTTGCGTGCTTCGCAACCTTACTCATAGCGTACAACCATACGGCTCTCTCTTTCATCGAAGAAACCAAGCAGGAGCAGCATATACGCAATGGATATGAATTACTGCGGCCATGGACGCATCTGCCTCTGGTTCGACGAGGATTGGAAAGGGCGCGCATTTTAATGCAGCAAAACGATCTTGCGCATATATTTCGCGCATATGCAGATGAATCACCTCAGCCTGCGTCTGGCATTAGTCCACCAGTAGCAACGAGTAACGACTGGAGATCTCCCCATCCAGGGTTCAGCATCAAGCCATGATAGCCGCGCGGACCCTGAGATGGCATCTGAAGTTCCGTAGGAAGACCGATCGCAATGCGGCATGGTTCGATTTAGGGAATCCCACGGGCTTAAACCACGCCACAAAGACATCATGCCAATCGGAAGATATTTGTGACAACCGGTATACACGACCGGCCCGAGGTCTCGTTACGAGCGTCCGATACGAACCTGGTCTTGAGTTCTTTCGCTGTTACGCCAGGGCGCCCTGCGGACAGATCCGTGCGAATGGGATCCTTTCCACACGGAACAACAATCACAATCCGTAGATGCATCTCGATGCAGGACCGTTGATCCACATTTGAAAATCGGTCGGTCATCAGCAGCGTATACTTGGCATTCTTGGACTGCGCACTCATTTCGCGTTTACGAATACACGACGGAGAGGGCTTTTGTGTGGTGATGCGCACACAACCACCACTGGCACCAGCATAATGATTTACACGCAGAGAACCCCACGACAGTCTACCAGAATGCAGAAGAAGTTGCGGCAATACCACCGAATACGGCCTGCATGCTATCTCAAGTCTATCGGTCAACATAACTGCCCGCCTGCGGAGCAGAGACCACAATGATCACCAGTGTTCAAACATCAGTCCCTAGGGTCTACGTAGTAAGACCGTGCTGAAAAAATAGATGTTCGAGCTGCGAAACATCCTGGCTGAACCCCAAGTGTTCGCCTGCCGGCAAACACGAGCCTTGCATCATAGCTCACCTTAGGATCACCTGAATATGCAGTTGGGGATCCTGCAAAGTGACCTGAGCCCGGCAAGATCCACATCAGTCCAAGCCATAACATCGTGCAGCTTCGCGATCTCTGGGGTAGATACGTCCTATCGAGTGCGTTGCGCTTATCAGTCACCAACCGACCGCTCAGGTGGCCGCTGCGGCTGTGATTTGAGTAAGGGCTGTCCTGCCTTGCACGACTGTTACCAGCATCAGCTATGAGATGCGAGAAGCGCTACGTCCCCAGGACCGTCATTCATCGCGCCATCTTAACACGATCTAATCCTCTGAATCAGCTTCGCGTGCAGTGTCTTGTTTCATTCATTCTAAAACCAAACATTCTCAGTATAACACCACGCTAGTCCCAAAAGAGCACGGTTCATCGCTAGTGTACAAACGAGCGTTGTCTCATAATACCTAGATATCAATTGCTGATTATCTCTTTTCTCGTTGTGCGACACATTTTGTGGCCCGCCATGGGACACAACCGACAACCGGAACTCTACGCAGCGGCGCTTATAACTTATACTGCTGCTGCAGTCGCGCTTGTCTTTCGATTGGTTGCACGTCGTCAAACCAGCCACCCGTTGGTATGGGAAGATGTTTTGGCCGCAATTGCGTTTGTATGTATACTCGAATTTGTATTGACACAAGACTTACAGTGCGGCAGTCCACTGGAAGTGCTTTCACTTTCATCAGCATATACAGTATGTAACATTCTGCACTCTTAACAACTAAGCGCTGACGGTGACCAGAGATGCGATGGGGACTCGGAAGGCCACTTCACAACATCGATATGGCAGAAGACGAGATTGTGTACCACTATTTCCTAGAACTATGGGTAGATATGTGGTTCTACACGTTTTCCGTCGGGCTATCCAAATTTGTCATACTAGGCTTCTACTGGAGAACATTTGGTCTTTCCGTCATCCGACAGCCTATCAGGATCTTGTTCGTCTGCTCGGCATGCTGGATCGTTGTCAGGGTAAGCAAGCGATCTAAATCGACTTCTAACGGCGGTAAGCTGATCTCACAAGGTTGTCCTCATCACGATGCAATGTCAGCCGATCCAGAAGTTCTGGCACAAAGACATCCCAGGCAAATGCACATTGCCACCGATGATGTCGCTCTTTGCTGCGGCCATACCTCATTTCATACTTGAGGTCGCGATATTACTCTGTCCGCTCTATGAGATATCCAGACTGCATATCTCGACAGCTCGCAAGGTTGCTGTAGCGGCAATGTTTGCAGCTGGCCTATTGTAAGTCGCACAAAACCAATACATCAACATCTCACTAATATATTCGAAGGGTCTGCGGCTCAGCACTCGGTACCATTGCTCATACGGTCGCCCTTGGCAGAAACCCCCATCCAGATCTCACATACGACGGTATCGACGACCAGATATGGGCAGTATGCGATGTGAACCTGGCATCCTTTGCAAGTCAGTCATCTACTCTGGATCTTTTCTCGAACCAAGTCGCTGACAGTCACCATCTAGCGTCCCTCCCTCTCCTCCGACCCGCCCTGCGCTCCTGCGGCGGTATATTCACCACTCTCCGATCAAACAAAAGATCCGTTGGCCCCAGTAATTACGGCAATCCAAACTCCGCACCGACCTTTGGTAGTGCTCCTAAGAGGGGATGTAGCCGCACATTAACAACTACCTGTCCCGGTACTGAGTCTACGATTGAGCTTTCTGCAGACTTTTGTATAG